GTTCAGCTCACCAACCCGTCAGAAAACTACCTGCCTCTTTTTTCCTGCTGCTTTTTTAATTGCTTTTGTGAATTCAAGCACCTCACAGGGCGGTTTGGCAAACACTAGAGTCAGCACAAGGAAAGCTGAAAGGAGAGGGAGGAAAATAAGGAGGTGACCCACAGAGCACTGGGTAGGTTGGGCAGACTGTGCACGAGAAAGTCACCTCATGTCCCCAGCACATGCACAGTCTGCAGTGAGGCCATGGAGCACAGGCAGTGCCAAGGGATGGGACAGGTCTCCTTGCCAAGAGCTTCTCCCTGAGGCACCATAATCCAGGTGATTTGACTCGTGAAAGGGCATAGGGTCTCCTCCAACTCCTCCATCTCCTGCCTGTGCTCTCCAGACAAACCCATGCAGATGAACCAGGCCTTGTTCATGTCCAGTGGGCAGTGTGGCTATGTCCTGCAGCCAACCAACATGCGAGATGACATCTTTGACCCCTTTGACAAGAGCACACTGCGAGGCATCGAGCCACTCTCCATCTCCATTGAGGTCAGTACCTGCATGGGGGGACACAGGATTGGATCCAGATGGTTATACTGAGCTTGGGGTGATCGTGTTTTTTCTGGGTTCCTGGCTCTGTCTGGAGCTGCTCCTCACCAAACCCTCAGCCCTGCCCAAGAGCTGTATCCCACAGCACAGACTAGGAAAGCCCTAGCTGAAGAGGGAGATCCATGGGTGCTGCTGAGGGTGCCTAGAAAGGAGCATCAGGAGCATCCCTGGATGCTCCCCCGGGACCCCTCCCGCCCAGGGCCCGGTGCCAGCAGGTGGCATCCACGAGCCACCGAGGTGCCATCCCTGTCCCCAGAGCTGGGCTGGGAGTGCAGCTGGATAACACAAGAGCTCCTTCTGGTCCCCTCCTTGTCACTCAGTTGCTCCAGGCTTGATGTTTCCATGTCTCCTTGCTCGTGGCCCCTCTCAGGAAGATGCTCGAGGTCAGAGCAGACATTTCAGGCCATTTCTGTTGCACTGCTGGTGATAAGGACGGGTGGGCTGTGGGTGGGGAGTGCCTGAGGATGGACTGTGGGTGCTTGTTTTTCTTCCTGGATGGTGGGACTGGGGCTGGACCGTTCCTGTGTCAGCTCACAGAGCTGCACAGCAGGGCTCTGTAGGGGTATGGGACAGCTTGTCAGGCAAAGCTTCTGGAGGGTTCTCCCTAGCCAGGTGGCTCACTTGTTTGGACCATCAGTGTCCCAATAGCCTGTACAGACATCCCTAGTGGTCTTGGAGCCAAGCTGTGGGTCAGCAGTCTCCTTTGTCAGTCCCTTCAGCCCATGCAGACCTGGGGGAGGATGCAGTGAAGATCCTGTCTTTAGGTGCTGACAGATTTTCTCTGAGGCTACCTCTGTTTCAGCGTGATCCCACCTAAGAGAACCACAGCCCTTCTCAATATAAGGATCCCCCATCATGTCCCATCTGCACCACTGCCCCCCTGTCTATTGTCTCCCTAAAAATCCTTGGCACCATTTCCCTGTCCCATCTGTTTTCTGAACTCTTCCTGCACCTCGGGATGCAGTTGCAACCACCAGGTGTCAAGAATCATTGTGCCCCTGTTGCCTTTAAGAGATGGGCTCAGCCTTTTGTGCTCTGCCCCCTGTCCCCACCAAAGCCAGCTTTCACGGATGGAGGAGCCCTCTGGAGCCCAGCATGACTCAAAGCACATGATCCAGCGTTGGCAGCATGTCCTTCCCCTGCAGCAGCCGCGTGCCGACGGCGCGCTGGAGCGACATATGGCCACCGGCAAGAGGGAGCTGTGATTCCTTCCTCCTGCGAGGAAGCAGGTTGTCATTTGAGTTGAGCACAGACTGTGCTACAAACAGGAGGCAGAGCAGTGGCAGAGAGCAGCTCCTTTTCATCCTCACACTGAGGCAGGAGGGCTGAGAAGTTTCAGCAAAGAAGAGGGTGTCCGATGCAGCGCTCCAGGCAGGGAATGGTGCTCGGCTTGCAGCCCAGTTCCAGCGTGGAGTGGCCTCAGCTTGGCAGGCTGGGGGAGGGATGCTGTGGCCCAGGCCTGGCAGGCAGGAACCTGGGGCAGTTCAACTGGGTTTTTTTATGGCTTACAAGTCAAACTGGTGCTTGGGAGCACCACAGCAGCTTCCAGGGCTGGGAGCTGTTTCTCTCCAAGAGTCAGGCTGTGCTGGACTGGCTGTCAGCGTCACTTCTCTCTCCAATTAGCAGAGCCAGAGTGATTTATTTGGGAAGAAAATGCCTTGGTATGCAAACACTTTCTATTTCCTTTGCTCCCATCTCTTACCAAGTTTCCCCTGCAGGTCCTGGGGGCTCGGCACCTTCCCAAAAATGGAAGGGGAATTGTTTGTCCGTTCGTGGAGGTGGAGGTGTCTGGCGCAGAGTACGACAACGCCAAGCAGAAAACTGAGATCGTGGGTGAGTGGGTTAGTGAAGGGAAGGGAGAAGGGCTCAGCACCACCCGTGGTGCTGGTGTGAGCTGTGGGCTCTGTGACAAAGCCTGGCCCTGGGCTGGGGGCTGCCCTTGTGCTGTGCCAAGCTCAGTGTCAGCTGTGGGGGGCACAGGGCTCAGCTGCCCATTGACTCTGTGTTTTGTGAGCAGCAGACAATGGCCTGAACCCTCTCTGGACCCCGAAGCAGTTCCACTTTCAGGTCAGCAACCCTGACTTTGCCTTCCTTCGCTTCGTGGTGTACGAGGAGGACATGTTCAGCGATGAGAACTTCCTGGCTCAGGCCACCTTCCTGGTGAAAGGCTTGAAGACAGGTACCTGGGGAAGTGGGGAAGGGGGTCATGGTTGGCATTGATAATCAGGGAGATGCTGAGTTTCATAGGAGGGTGTTGTCAGGCCCCAGGCTGGCTCAGTCCCTCCTTTCCCAATGGCAGATCACATCCCCAGCCAGTTAAAGGAAGGTTGAGCCATTTGCTAACAGCCCTTGGGGCTGACTGCCACTTTAGGGGATCTGGGTGGGGTTAGGGAATCATGGAATTCCAGGATGGTTTGTGTTGGAAGAGCCCCTGCCATGGGCAGGGACACCTTCCACTAGACAGTTTGCTCAGTGTCCAACCTGGCCTTGAACATTTCCAGGGCTGGGGCATTGACAGCTTCTCTGGGCAGCAGAGAAGGGTCTTCTGGGAGAAGGATCCCCTTGAGTTCTGTGCCAGGGAACCAACATGTCCCTGCCTGTGCCATGATGATGCCAGGGCTGTCTCTGCCGTAGGTTTCCGAGCTGTTCCCCTGAAGAACAACTACAGTGAGAACCTGGAGCTGGCTTCCCTGCTGGTCAAGATAGACATTTTCCCTAGCAAGGTAAGGCTGGACCACACACACAAAGGTCACTGTGCTGCAGGGCTGAGGAGCAGAGGCAGTGAGCCCTGCCTGGCCCTGCCTGCTCTGCTCTTCTGGTCGGGGCTCTGAGGCTCAGCAGTGCCAGGCCTGAGCACCTGTGGATGACTGAATTCCCAGTGCTGCTCCATAGTGATGCACAGTGGGATGGCAAGTGCTGGGCTTGCCCCCTGCAGTGGTCAGGGTGTTTCAGGCAGGGTCCTGCCCTGGACTGCATTTGACTTGCCTGGAAGCAAGTTTTGCTTCAGCAAAAACTGGAGGAGGTGGATTTGCTCCATCCCAGTGCCTGTCTACACCCCAGGGAAGTTAGAGCTCGGTATCACGGAGCTGGCTAGCCTAGGGCTGTCAGTGTTGGCATAAGCAGAGGGCAGGGCTCCTTCAGAGACAGATGGTTCTTTTATTTCTTCATTTAAAATCCCACTGGTGGGAGCCAGTGATGGCTATTACAGCAGTTGCATCTTGCAAACCCCAGGACCCCATGAGCCCTGGACACACCTTGTGTGGTAGCTCCAGGACCTGCCTTTGTGACAGGACCTACACTTTGAAATCCCAAGCCCTTGACTACTGCATTTTTTTTTTTCTCTTGGTCCAAGCAGGAGAATGGTGACATACACATCTTCAATGCTTCAACCCTACGGGAACGAGCAGGGGATGCCTCGAGTCAGCTGCTGTCAATGAGAGGCAGAGAAGGGTCCTTCGAGTCGCGGTACCAACAGCCTTTTGAGGATTTCCGTGTGTCACAGGAGCAGCTCACTGACCACTTTGAGAGTCGGGAGCGAAGGTATTGCTCTTCCCAGCACGAGACATCCTCTCAGCATTTAGTCTCCTGGCTGGGGGCAGATGACTGCAGCCTCCCCATAACACAGAGCAGAGCTGCAGCCTTGCTGGCTGTGTGGAAGCCCCAAATTTAAGCATGAAATGAAAGTTGGGGGGGGTCAGTACTTTAGGGTCTGTGGGAGTAAGGGTGGAACAAGGAAATGCCACTCCACAGCAGGTGGCACGTTTCTCAGGCACGGGGAATGTGTGTGTCTGCTTTCCTGCAGCACTTTAGACAGCATTGCCCTTGGTGATGCCTTGGTCGGGCTGAGCTGTGTCCCCTCTCTGTGCCCCCTGCAGGGTACTGCGGCGGACCCGGGTCAACGGTGACAACCGGCTGTAGCCCATCCCGGCGGGGAAAGCCCCTCCAGTGCTTGTGAATCTCACAGCACGCTGTGAACTGGTTTCTATGGAAACGGCACTGCTATGGCCTACTTTCAGGCAGCTTTTCCAGTTTCTCTGCTGAAGTGTGTTCAAGTGGAGAACTAAAAAAAAAAAAAAAATTGGAAAAAAAACCCCCAACCAACCCACCCCACCCCTAACCACCCACCACCCTTCACCACCAAGCCCTTAACGAAGCGCAGCGGTGCGGACAGCCTGCCACAGCCACTGAGGTGAGAGACCAAACTGTCTGTAATCACAGGGAGACCCAAAAAAGCCCCATCCAGCCCTGTGTGTCGCTGCTCTGCCTGTGCCCTGGAGATCCTGTGCAGCTGCCACAGCTCTTTGCAGCCAACCTTTGCTGTACCCATTATTCCCAGCACTCCGGGCAGGGGGTCTTGGGTGACTGAGGCAGCACAGCCCTGTGTGCAGGCAGCATCGCATCTACTACCTGTATAGCCACTGCCTAAGGGTCCAGTAGTGAAACTCCACATTTATGGGGCCTCTCTAGCTTTAAACTACAATAAAAGTGTCAGTATTACACATGTGGTGGCTCAGGTGTCTGGTGGTCTGTCCTGCTGGGAGGACCTGGGGTGCAGCCTTGGCCTGGAGGTGCTGCACTGCTCCCTCCTTCCTCCTGGCTTTAGAGGGTTTGCAGCTACCAGGGAGAAAAACAACGAGGAGCAGCCCCAGGTTTAATGTTCACTCAAAAAGGTAAAACAAGGTTATGTGCTACAGCTGACCGTGCTGTCCTGAGCCAGCCTGGGGACAAGCACTTACTCCTAGGGCTCCTAGGACAGAGGTGTCTGGGCTCAGGAGGCTTCTGAGTCACTCACTCATGGCCTGACCCCACGAGTACATCACTGGGAAGGTTTTGATCAAGCATTCCCAGCTGAGCAGCTGGAGTGCAAGCACAGCCATCCCCAAGCAGCAACCACTGTTGTGCACCAGGTTTAAAGCTATCACCATGGGTTTCCCCAAACCACAGTGCAAGCACCAGTCAACTCACGTTTGTCTTTTACGCTCTTTTTATTTAGGAACAACCAAAAATGTCTGGTTTCATTTCAACAAACTGTACAAGCAAGCTCTTCCCCTCGCCCACCCTCACATCCACATATACAAAAGGAAGGGAAACTTGCCATTCACTTCTCAGAAGTGGCATTGTTGCTACAGGGAGTTCTTGCCCTCAGAATAAGAGCAGGTAAAGTCCATAGCAGGTACAAGCTACCCTAGCCCTAATAATAGCTACAGCCCACAATCACAGGCAGCTTCATTTTTTTTTCCTCTTTAAAACCTTTACCAAAAGTAAAAACTATTTCCTGTCTCACACGATTGCCAAGGTGACCATCCAAAATTGTGGTCTTGAAAAAAAACACAGTAACAACCCCCACTGGAACCCCCCACACCTCCCCGGTACGAAGACGGTTTACACCGCAGAGCCCTCGCTCTGCTCCCTCACTGCAAGGCCACCCTTATGAAAGGTCCCTTTGCAGCTACAATTACATTTTCCTTTGGATAAATCCAAGCAAAAATTCCAGGTCATTCAGCACCAGCATGATTTCTAAATAACAATAATTAAAAAAAAAAAAAAAAAAACCAAACAAAAAGAGACCCCATTAGGCTGACTTTGTGGTCTGCTGAGAAACAAAGTGATCAACACGCTGTTCCCAAAGTCTCTCTTTTAGTGCAATGTTAGTATGTGCAAGGGGAATCACAGCCACGTACCCATAACACCACCATGAGCCAAATGGGGCAGAGAGAAAGTGCAATTTTAGCTAGAAGTTTTCTATGCCATGGATTCCTAGACCAACCTTCACTAGCACCAGTAAGCAAGAGTCTTCCTAACTCCACTCTCCATCAGTATACAGGGCAAAAGGGGCTTTATTGAGCCATCAAAACATGGCCAACGTCAGCCAACAGAGCACTGAGGCCATAACAAGAAAACCCAAAATGAAGACAAAAAAAATCATCACTGCTTTAAAAGTTTTGTGATGCCAATGCACCATTCCTGGCAGGGACCACTGCCAGTATAACATACAGCAGAAACTAAACTTCCCAATACAAAACATAAGGGAGAGCCTGCAAGTGCCTCATCCCCCTCCATGTGTAGTGTTGCCTAATCTTACCCTGCTGGTTTTAGGATCAGCTGAGAAGTGACACCAGAGGTTACAGGTGAGCTGAATCACATCAGGTCCCCAGCCAGTTTGAAAAGAGTGAAGTCAAAATGATCTGGGCAACAGGAGAGAGAAGTTTACAAGCATGTTAAACACTGTCAGCGTATCAGGAAGATGCAGCATTGTCTTCACTCCAATTTGTGCCAAAGTGCTGATAATCACCCTTCTCTTCTGATTCCCAGTGACCCAGCTTCCATCAGGTTGGCTCTGTTATGCCCCTAAGAGAGGCTGCAGGGAAGACAGGATACCTGTGACCAAAAACTGTTGCTTTTCAATTAAAACAACCCAAAACCCTCAGTGGAAAACCAGCCTCCTACAGCTTCTTTCTCCTCCTGAACAGTCAGGGGACATGTAGCAAAAATTAACCAGGCAGGTATCTTGCAGCTCCAGCTGCTTCTTCCCACCACAGCTGCAGGCCTGATATCCAGCAGCACTCACCTCTCAGGCCAGTGGAAAGAGGAGCCTGTAAATCATGGTTTGTTTAGCATTCTGCCAAAAAACCCCCCAAAACAGAATGATTTCCAGAATGCAAATTACAGAGCTGAAAAAGAAGGTACCCAAACGAAACATGGAACCATGTCTAGAAATCTCATGGCAGGGCCTGCTGACATGACTGAATTAAAGTAAATCTGTTCCTTGCACCAGGAGAACCAGCAGCCCTTTCCATGAGCAAGGCAGGGCTGGCACAAATCAGGGTTTTGGGTTATTAAGCAATTGGATTGTGCCCTTAATCTAAGCAGCCTCAGAGACATAAGTAACAAGATTCACATGGATTAAAAACGATGGTTGCTGCTGTGTCTGCCAAGCCCAAGCTCAGACACAGCGGATGGAGGTGCAGAATTTAATTTCCCTTCCTTACTGATGCTGGCTACATAACCTCAATCTTACACTCTTCCTTTCAAGTCAAGATAGTCATCTTTGATTAGATGATGATAAATATTCACACACTGTGTAGAACTGTGGTGACACTTCCTCTTAACACCACAAGAGCTGCTGCTGGGACTGTCGAGCCACCTCTCAATTTTTCCTTTCAGTTTCAGATGCAAACACATTTACCATGCCCTGCACCAAAACCCAAGTCTGTCTGGAGATAGCACCTGCTCCTCCTTCTCAACAGACAAACAGAGGACCACTGAGCTAAACCCTCAAAAATCTTCAGCTTATACTTTTATGGAGATTTCAAGTCAACTAAAAAAATGCAGATAACAAGGAATGTAGGAGTTAGAAAGGGAACCTGATTATTTTTTGTCTCCAAATCTCCCCCCTCCCCACACACCGGCGTTTGCCAGCCCTGTCACCACATCCGAGGGGAGTCTGCATGGAACCACTTTTGAAAATTCCTTCGACCCAAAAGAAAGAAAACTCCTGCTGTGCTTGTATGAATGCATGGAGACAAAGCTCAAAAACCTCAGCAGCTTCCAACCCTCAAGGCTGGTTTTTCTGTGTACACCGGGAAATTCTCCCTCTAGCTCACAAGACTTCTCTTTTCAATTTTTTTTTCTGAAAATTGGCTGAATACAATCCAAGTGCAAAATACTTCAGCTAGTGCATGGAAACATGGTTTGAAGGGACCAGTTCATACCATAGTCCTTAAGCATTTCTGTAGATGGAGTGGGGATCACTCTTCCAATCAGCCTTTAAGTGTACACCAAAAATCCCACAGAAAATCACCTTGAATGGGCAAACTACATTTCCAACATATTTATATAGCAAGTAGTTAGTAAAAGTGTACATTTTTAATGTACATCTTAATGCAATAAAGAATCAATGGCATATCTGAACTGTATATATGTGTACTTAAATAAACCTGCATGTACATAGACACTACAGAGTAAATTGACCTACCTGCATTTGTTCTCTGAAGGTGACACCAAGCATACACCCATACTCTTGGGCTGCACACTCCCAGCTCTAGCACCACCCAGGTTCTGTCATCACCTGTGACATTTTGGGGTGCACAGGATTGCACTCCTGAGGCTGAGCCCCTGAGGCTCTGGCTGCCCCTGCAGCCCTGAGGAGAGCCATGGGGAAGCCACCGGCTGTGCTGACACAAAGCCAAGGTGGGATGGCTGCTGGTCACACCTCCAGCTATGCCATGACCATCAGGAGTGCTGCTGAAGAGAAATTTAGGGAACCTGGAGCCACAGCAGGGTGCTGTGGGTCGGTGCCACCCCTGCTCACAGCGTGGTGGGGGTGACTTGTCTGACCACTGCAGGATGGGTGCACCCCAGACATCACTCTGGCTCACACTTCGGGGTGCAGGTCATCTCTGCCTGAGGTCACACAATGAGCCAGGGGAGCCCCACGAGCTCAGGCACAGGCACCCAGCACGTAGGCACACACAGCCTCTCTCTGCCAAAGCACTGAGCAGACACAGCCCCTCCTAGCAGCTGAGCAAGGAGGCCTGTCAAAGAGGAGCCGAAGAAAGAACTGGAAAAGCGAGGGCAATTAAAGGTAGAAATCAGACACCATCTTTGGAAGAGGTTCTGAAACAGCTTTTTTTTGTTTTTAAACCAGAGTTTTTGTAAATCTCTGGATCCGACCCTTTGGGGCTTGCTACCCACCCTCCTAATAAATATCATTTACCACCAACAATAAAGTCTCCCACATTAAAAAGCTCTCACTAAATAAAAACCTTCTACTGAAAAAGCTTGGCCGAGTTGGCTTGGCAAAAATAAGGAGCTATGACTACTCTCCATAAATACATCAGCGGATAAACACCAAAAACTATTTAAGTTAAGGGACAATGTTGGCTCCAAAACAAACCAGGAATGAACCAGCCACGAATTAATTCAAACTAGAAATTTAAATAAAGTTTCTCCAAGGCAGTGAAGTTCTGGAATAGCCTTCCAAGAGCAAAAGTGAAGGCAAGACATGGAACCAATTTGGAGCTGGGATTGGATTAGTTTGTGACAGATTGGTCTGACACAGCATTTGGCTGGACTAGT